GCAACTTATGAGCAGTGCACTTGGAATTTGTAATGGTGCAGTAGCGTGGAGGCTTGGTGGTGAGCTGTGAAGCGTATGCGAGGAATCGCATTCGTTAACCGAGTTGTGATGGTTCAGTGGTGGTGAGATTCTCGCTTTACAGGTACGGCATGCTGGTTCCCGAAGTCATAGAAGTTTTTGCTTCATTTTTTTTTACTTAATTTTCGACACATACCAAATACAGCGACTTCGCAACAAATGTGGCAGATCAAACCGTCAAATGACGCGTGGCATTTACTCATAATCACTCACCATGCCATTCTCTCCAGCAAAGCTGGTCTCCATACTCCTGGAAATGGGTCGCCGAAGGACAACGATGCTGTTACTCGGCAGAAGAGGATAATCGCCGCAAGGTCTGCTGCTACACTGCGCGATGATGTCGCTGGTGGAATTGACGCAGAAAGTGATGAAAGCTTGGAATCTGAAGTCTCCATTGAATCTGACTGGGACCACTGCAGTGATGACGACGAGGGCTGCTCCGGTGCTGATGGTCAGAAAGTGTGGTTTATTTTGGCGCATTCTAGCGCGTATTTGATGTGCGACGAAAAATTGGGTAAGAAAAAACATGGAGCAGGAACTTCCATGCCTCCGGGAGCCGAACCAGCACGCTGTACCCGTGGAGCGAGAACCTTACTACTGGGCCACTACGATTTGATGAATGCGTTCCACAGCTCGCCACCAAGCCTCCACCCTACTGCACCATTACAAACTTTACCTGCTCATAAGTTGCTTGTGAAATGCAGGTTGCAGTTTTGCTATCTATATTTGTAAATAACCTTATAGACTCTATCGATCTACCCAGGTCTCCATTCAAAGTTCCATGGTAAGTTGGCGCGCTTCCCTGGATAAGCCTAAATGTTTTGGATAGCTCAGTTATATGAGTTTCATGATTGAAGGGTATTTCTATAGACTTAAATGTAATAGTAGCAAAGCCCCATGTGCGACAAGAGCCTAAACAAGGAGTGGGAGCTGTTTGCAGTTACTTCTAAGTCGCTGCATCGCAGTACAAATTCACTCCAAAGGTAGAGTCGGCGCGCAGCGAAGCTGTGATGGCTCCTCTCTATCCCACTTCATTTCCTAACAAGGGAACCCCAACAGGTCGATCCGGCCATTTGCAGTGAGATGTATAAATATGGACGTGTCTTGAGCCGCTGAATCCAAATCTGCCCTCCGATTTTGCGGAACGATTCTCCAAAGGGAGTTACGGACCATTTAATCTTAGCTCCGTTTGCTCAAGTTGAGAAGGATAACTGCATGCGGCAAGCCGCCGATGGCCTAGTGGATAAGTGCATTGCTTCAGAGACACGAGGTCGAATGTTGGAATCCTTGGCTATCGAAATCTTTTGCTTTTCATTCAAAACACTTGGTATGAGCCCTCCGAAATTTCTATTTGGCCATTTCGCCTAATTTCTTGATTAGTTGCCAACGAAAGGCGGGCGATTCCCACATGTACGATTCCCATTTTCTCGAAAAGGAGTTAGAACCTCGGATTCCGCTGGGGTGACGTCTCTAGGGGTTATTTGACCCCCTGAACACGAATATGATACCTGTTTTGCGCGAAGAGCGCTGTGAGTTGCGCTACAGGTGCTAACGCTTTGGCGCTGGCGCGCCCGGAAGAAGAAAAGCGATAAGTAAAGCCTCTTGGCGCGCCCCGCGAAGAAAGTAAGCAGTAAAGAAACAACCTCACAACTCCGCCTCAGCAGAATGGGTTCACGCAAACTTTTAAAGATAGTCATTGTGTTCGTGTTATCGTGAAGGTGAGATACAAATGACGTACCATTTCGTCTGCAAATGGCGCCAGGGCTGGACGTGCTGGCGCTTTCTAGGTCAGACTGTGCAAACACAGCAAAGATTAAATGGTCCGTAACTCCCTTCTGAGAATCGTTCCGCAAAATCGGAGGGCAGATTCGGATTCAACGGCTCAGACACGTCCAAACGTATACATCTCATTGTAAATGGCCGGATCGACCTGTTGGGGTTCCCTTGTAAGTCAACTCGTTCTGCAATGCTGCGACTGGCGAGTAATGCACCATTCCCAGCTGCTCCAAAGCCCCTCCGTAAATATGAGGGGGGGGGGGAGGGGGGAAGCATTGATGCAGTTTAACGATAACCTTTTCAGCCATGTTTCTAGAGGGCAGAAAATTTTACTCAGCAAGGATTTGAATCCACCACCTGTGACTTGTGAGCCGTGGGGACAAAGCCTTCATAACTCTGTTCAGAAAGAAATTCCACGAATTTGGAAAAAAGCTTCGAGATCTGTTCCCGAGAACCCATAAAACAATATATCACTCTAGAAATAGCCTTTTCGTACTTTGTCCATTTCTGATTAGTCCACTTACGAAATCATTGCCAATAAAACATACGCACCTACGTGGTTTGTGATCTTGATAATAAAACGGCGAAATACCTGGAAAACTTTGTCATTTTCTGCTCTGTTGTACTCGCATGATTGGATGGCTGCCTTAGTCGTCCTTTAGTCGCTCTTAATCTTTAGTGTGAACTTATTTCACTGTCCTACAAAGCATATCACACCATGTTTACAGCGCACTAGTTTTTCGTGAACGCAAATGATCAGAAACCCATCGGTGACACTTCTGCGAATAAGGTAAATATGACAAATACTTGTTTATTTTGGAATGATATTGATAGGCATAGGGCATCAACGGCTGTAAAGTACAGAATCGCAGCATTCCAAGGAGAGAATAACACTGAAATGTTGGAAAAAGCCATCTTGTTGTCAATGGCTCTCTCTCTCTCTCAACGAGATTACTACACCAATGTCGCCTACGCATTGGAGCAGAACATTTGTTGGTTGGGTCATGGCAAACCCTCTAACTGAGCTTAGGAAGAGAAGGGAGATTTTTCAGAAAATTAGAATTGTAGTTCTGATTAGTCATGAGCCCGATCTGAACGAATACCAGCTCGAGACATATTTTTGATGATTCATGTGGACATTGAAAAACACGTGCGATTTCTGTGGTTTGAAAGATCACTTTTTTCATGGAATATCATTTGCTAAACAAACCAAATTTCGAAAGTCAAAGCAAACCAGTTTCTAAAAGTTTTCAACGAATGCCGCTTTTTCCTACAGCCTTACTCGCTAAATATATATTTCAGATGAGAAGCCAAGGTGGGAGGTTCCGCTCCATTTAAAAACCAAGTGGTCTGACACATTTAAATTAATATTCACCTCGAAACTTCACATGTCTCTGAGACAGTTTTGTGCTTCTACAATGGTAGCAGCAGCAAGAAAGAGCCTGGTATCTATGGCTAACCACTTCTTCAAAAATGGGTCAGAGCCTCAAGCTGGGTAGAGCAAGAGCGTAGGGTAAGAATAAGCTTTGGGATGCTCTCCATGAAAAGGCATGTGCGAAACGGAGAGCAAACTATGCTCTGATTTCCATTTCATTGAGTGCTCTCTGTCAGTTGTCTTCACCTATGAAGCTTCTTCTATTGACTAGAAAAGTGCCTATAGTGCAGTTTCTCCATCATGGACATGCACATGTCATTCGTGAGGCACGGAACTGCATGGCACAAGCGCTACGCGCTCTGACGGACTCAACTCTTTTCAGGCTGCACACTTATTCGGTCACGCTTGCGAAGAATCTTTGACGTAGTTCTTTTACTGTGCCTTAGTTCAATGTGACTGTGAAGTTTCTTCCATTAAGCGAATTATTCCTAGTTTAGCAGCCAGTTTCCTACTCTGTGCGCGGGATTCCATGGCACGCACCAGATGTTTTTCGGTAGGAGGAGAGAGAGAGGCAGGGGAACAAGTCGTCTCAAGGATGAATTTCTAGCAAAATCAAAATCTCAAGCCTATCAAGTCGTGGAAAGCCTCATACAAAAGTCTTCGGTTCAGTAACGTAGGTGTCATCACCTGTCACCCTTTGGTTCTCCTAGAATTGCCTGATGCCTGTGGAGGGGAGGTTTCTTGAGAGAACACGGATAGTTTCTTTCTATGTGCGAGATGTACAGGTCTGCAGCACCACTTCAGTCCCTCCCACCATTCGATACGCGACGAGCACCCGCGGACACGCAATACGCCACACGTTCAGTCATGCGCCCAATTATGGCAACTTACCTGGTCTCTCCAAAGCGCGCAGCGAACGTGTTGGCAAAATGCTTTCAGTATCTGACGTAGACATCCCTTATATAAGAAGGACGGGAATGAAAGAATGAGCAGCTATCACAGCCATTAAACTTTATTTGCACATCGAAGCGACGCAAATGGCTCACTTCTACTGCTGCCGACGTGGCCACCTAGTACACATGAATGGATCCGTCTCTCAAAGAAATCAAAATTTGTTTATTCGAAAAATATGTAAAGCGTATTCGTTCGTGAGATTTACACTGCCCTTAATATTCTATAAAGCTAGTCATCGTATTTTTCAGATGAGTTTCGATATAGTTCTCGAAAAACTTGCTTCGGATATTGTACCTACGAACATACGTTATCTATTTTATATGGTTACACCAAATGAGACGCTCTACACAAAGATAGAAGACATACCAAATTATTTTCTGGAACCGGTAAGTACCGAAAGTGAACGCATCGTTACGAATGAGGTCGCGATCTCCGACTGAAATGAAGCACCATGGCGGCGCGTTCTTGGTCTGACAATCCGATTCTGTTGTAGGTAGATAGAATATAGTAGAGTTTTCGAGAAAGTGTAAGTCGCCGCTGCCCCACATGCTGGTTAGAGATTACCTGAGCGCACTGACGCACTACATAGCAGAGTTCACATTTTGTAAGGCAGCGTTAAGTGATCGCGTCGACCGTCGAAACTGCGCTCAAATGCTTCAGATGCGGACGCAGCCGCAAATCGGCGTCGGCCATTTCTGCTCCGGGGGGGGGATAGCAGAGTACGCGCTTAATCGCCCAGTCTTTTAATGATTGGCTCTGACCGCTTGCTGTGGGAGAGTACAGAGGAATAGGAGGGTACTATTGAGTGGCAGAGGGCCTCCTCCTGATGTTCTCCTCTCTCCCTCTCTCTCTCTC